GATGGGTCAATGTGGTAGAAATTTTAGAAGAAATGCACAATGGAATGGACTTTATTGAGAGGCAAGGAAATGACTTACCTCCTCTCTTGATATGATTTAGAAATAACAACGAACTATTCACTTATTTGTTTCCATCGATTTCTGTGAGCAAAACACATTTAAAACATACTGAAGAGAATTTGTTTAATCTCTGAGTGACAATATTGAGTCTGATTGCTAATCCTCAAAGATTGAATATTACATATAAGTAGAGAAAAATTAATGAGAAAAAAGTAGACATTTTACTGACTTTTACTATGATCTCATTTGAATCCTGTGTACATATGCACATTTAATATTTTAAAATACTGCTTTGTACTTGGTTTCCAAAGTATTTGCTATTGATTTTGATCCTTCGTTTGTGATCTGTGATTATGTTCAGTTGACATTTCTTCTTTTTATGTATGATGATAAATTTATTTTGTCTCAGTTAGATAACATCTTCCTTTTAATTAGGTTGGTCAAGGTGAAGAGCAGGTAAACACTTCCTGTTTAGAACGGTAACTGTTACTTTAGGAAAATAGAACAAATGTTTGTGAGCAGAGAAAAAAGAAAAAAAGAGGTTTTTGCTTCCTCACTGACAGTGGTAAATGGTATAACTAAGAAAAATACGTAAGATAGTAGGAGGAACAGGTTTTAACAAAAGGTAGGTGCTGCCTATAAGTTTCAAGAGTGATTTTGTTTCACATAAAAAGGGGATATATGTAGAAAATATTGGGTGATATTTTAGTTTTCACAAAATCTCAAAAAATATAATTATGTAGAATCATGGAAAGTTAACACTATCTACTTTTTGACTTTTTAAAAATTAGATATGTAGCTTTGTTGCAGTTCATTAGATACATATATGTGCTTATCAACTTTATCTTAAGAACACAAACTCCACTAAAGCCAGAGTGGTTTTATAATATTTTTGTATATATAGTCCTATATTTTACTCTAGCTACCTTCCCAGGCAAAGAATACATTATTGGTTCATTGCAATGTTTCCTTTTCCATTTCTTTTTAGCAAATAATATTTTGTGAATACTGTTACATCCAATATTGTTGAAGAAAGGGGACCTGACTACCCTGCAGAATACCTGGTGGAGTGGGGACCCATAGGAAATTTAAAATCTATTAAAACAGATTTTATGTAGTGTTTAAGAGTCAAATGCTAATTGTACTAAAATGATACAGTATTGCTGGGGCTGAGATGTTGTAGTTTCTTTCATTTGTATTTTAGGTAAATATTTTTTGAGAAACTACTGTGTTCTAGATATAGTAGATATAGTGATAAAGAGAGAGCAATATTTTGCTCTCACAGACCTGTATTTATCTTAAAGTTGTAGTTATATAACCATTTAATCAATGAGAGTTAATGATAAATTTCTTTTATGCTTTGTTTTTATAGTTTGTAGGATTTTTTGTTTCAGTTAGGTTTTAACAAATGAGATTTCAAGTGACTTTTTTCTCTCAGAATAGAATACTTAAATATTCTAAAGAACTTATTCTCAAAATATTGCTTGCTCCTAGAAGTATCAGCAACCTGGACCAGGGCTGACTGTTGATGCGAGGTCTGGTTCTGAGTTCTGGCTGCAGGTAGTAGAAAAGTGGAAGAAAGGTAGGTCCAGCTTCCAGTGGTTTCTAAACTGAACTAAGCAAACATTTTAATTATTCCCCAACAGAAATATTAGCTATTCACATGAAGCCATGACAGCTTTTGACCATGTTTTAGTCCTCAGTATAAATTCAGTAGAACTTTTTTCATCTAGAGGGTTAATTTCTGTCGTTTCTTCTAAATATAAATTTCCATTCCTAGACCTATTTACCCAGAATCTTTCCCTGGCTGGCCTTCTTTCTCCTTGATTTCCTTTTGTTGTGCAGAGGACTTTGTGCCTTAGGGAGGTTCTGAACTACAATGAAAGAGGAGGGGTCCTCTGTGGTCTGTTCTGAGACCTACCAAAATGTATCAGACAAGTTTTACTTTCTTAGAGTGCTATATGGTGATTTTTTTATGTGTCTAAGAAATGGAAACATTTTGTCTCATATAAAAAAGAAATATTTTTATACTGTACTCCACTCACAGACCACATCAGAGGTATTCTAAGAATAGAATAGATCAAATATATTTTATGGAAATATAATGAGAAAAGGATGTGTTCCCAAAACTCACTCGGAACAAAGGAATGCAGCGTAGTCAGGAATACTTTAATGCTCCTAACAATTTTCTCATGTGAAAGCCTGAGGAACAGCACTGGTTTGAAGAAATCTCCCACTTCTCCTCGGCCTCCCCCAAACTTGAAATCAGACCTAGGGAATCTATACATTGTGAATAAGAAAATGTATGGGAAAAGTGACTTAGACCATTAACCAAAATGACATTTCTGAAAGAAGAAAACATCAGTATGAAACTTTTTGTCATATTTCATTTCATTGATCATATATTTATTTTATGTATTCCAGAGTACTGAAGCTTAGAAGGAACTGAATTTCTGGGAATTCATATTAGTTTTGTCAGTCTGTGTTTGAGGGAACTAACAGGGAAAGAAAATATATTACAATCATTTGCTTTTATCATGCTCTCTTATCATGTATACAAAGAACAGTAAGACTAAGTACATTTAACATATATCATTTTTAAAAACCAAAGTACTTCAAGGACTGAATGTATCCTTAAATAATAACATTCTTTTCAAAACAACCTACAGTTGTTCAAAAAACTCAATTTCTTCATTTTATTAAACTTATCTAATCAGAATTATATTTTCTTCTTCTCATGCAGTGTAGTGAATTTTAACATATTTGTGTTTTTTTAAACTTTTCTAGTTCTTACACTAATGCATAAGTGTTATTTTCTTTCTTCTGCAAGATTCTGTGTTCCAGTTTAAATATCCATCTGATTTGTCTGCTGGATTCAGTGTTGCTACCAAATGTATATATTGTCTTGCTGAGTTTATTTGGCTTAATTTTTTCACTTCTGAGATATTCTAAATTGGGCAATAATATTCACCCCCCTTTCAACCCTACTTTGCATTTTCTGAAAAAATACATACCTTCTCAATATTTCTGTTTATTTATTGTATATACTACCGTAAATTCTGAAGGGACTACAGAGTCCCCTGAAAGTAAAGTCACCATAATATTTATGCATTAAACACACATATTCATGTACATGTATCTATTTTTTGAAAAGCCCAAAATGCATATGCTATCATGGCCCCCAAGGTAGCAATAACATATGCAGAGAAAATTTATGCAGTTCCAGGCTGTGAACAGGATTTCTAAGAGCTACTTCCAGAAAACATTGCCCCCCCTCCTCATTCTTCAATCTGTCCACTTACTTCCCTCTGAAGACCTCCTTCTCTTTTTAAATTGACTTGTGAGTTGGGTGAGTTAGTGGAATCATTTAGGCTTGCTATTTGGTGACTTCTGTGGGATAATGGAAACATTTTAAGGAAAATATGTGTGCATGTGTGTCTGTGTGTGTGTGTGGGTGGGTGTCCATATGTGACTGTGAGCATGTGTGTGTGTGTGTGTGTGTGTGTGTGTGTGTGTGTGTGAGAGAGAGAGTGTTGCCATTTTTCTCCCTGTAAAGAATCTGCTAGATAGATACATTGCTTACATATAGGGAGTAACTTTATTTTTAAAAAGTCAAGATAGGGTATTCAGGTTGAATTTTTGTCACCTAAAATTCACTTAGTTATTTTCAACTAAGAAAATTCTTAGAAAAATGTAATAATTAAAAGCATATTTAAATTTTTCATGAGATAAATATAAAATTTACTTTTGAAAATTCTTTGAATGAGAAATATATACATATTCTGGAATTCTTACTGGTTTCCTACGTAACAAAAAATGCTGCTGAAGGATTAAAAATGGAAAAAGGCATGTCATTCTCAGTTTTGAATGACATGCATTCAAGATGTTTGTGATGTTGCACTTGAAATATTACACAAATTTAAATATTACTTTCTAGTGTTGAATATCCACATAGTCTATACTTCTTTTGTTTATAAGTTATATCATGGTATTTATATACTTTTTAACATGTTTAGATATAGTTATAATATATAAATAAATAAATTATCAAGTATATTGTGGCAAGATGCTCTATTGAAAAAATATAGGGGAAGTTTCCTTTTTCAAAGAATATAGGGTACATGAGTGGGGGATCATTGTAAAATTTACTAATGTATACAGGTACTCAACTTTTGTCTGCTATGACATAATCATACTAACTGAATGAACTGAGTGACTCAATGAACAAATCAATAAGTAAGTATAAGACAACAATAGTGTCTCAACTGTCTTCATCTCAATTTCCATTCTCTGAATATGTTGCAGTTCATTGGCATTTCTGTAAAACTAATATTATGTAATCTGCATGATAATGTCTAACCAAACTGGAGGAAGAAAACATAAATATTTTGGACATAATTTTCTTACTTTTTTTGGGGGGGTAGTCATGTTCTTACCTCACAAGAAAATTGTAATTAATTAAAGCAATGCAATACACTTTTTCTTTCCTTAGTTTCCTGGTCTCCCTTGCATAATTGTATAGCTGTTGTGTAGTTTAGGGATATAAATATTAAAGTTTTCACTCATTCATTTTATAGTAGGCTTTGTGATACTTGACATAATTATTACAAGTGATTGAGACTTTTACCTTCCCATTTGCTCAATTCGGTCATTAAATGAATTAAATATCTCTCATGTTCGGTTCAGTCTACATAAACATCTGTTTATGCTTGGGGATACAGTGATGAACAAGAAAAAAGAGTATGATAGCAATTTTATTGTAGTTTACGGCTGTGGAACAATCATGGAGGGCAAGAAGGTAATATCTGTAATTATACTACACAATAGGAACTCTTGCAGGAGGATATTCTACTATGCTTACATGTACTAGCAGAGTGGATCTGGCTCTAAGAAAGAATGATTAAGTTGAGAGCTGAAAGATAATTTCATTACAGAAAAGATGAAGGAAGAAGTTTCTACACAGACATGATGGAGTGGTGAGAGCTCTGTGGCAGAAAGCCGCACAACGCATTTACAGATCTGAAAGAAGATCAAAGTGCTTACAGCTGAAGGTATACCCAGAAATGAGATGAAGTGGGGGCACAGGTGAGTAGGGCCATGAAGGCTGGGTAAATTAGTTTACTTTCTTTGAGTCTCTTAGCTCTGTGGCATTTAGAGGTCCTCAGAGGCAAAAAAACTTTTTGTTCACTATGTCCAAGGCTTGTACTAATGTGGTATGGGTTGTGTTTTAGCTGGCTTATAGAGCTCAGACATTCCATGGAAGATTTATTTCAGTTAAGATGCAATCACGATCTTCAAGTATAGGGACCCTGGGGAACAAGAAGATGGAGGTTGGGGAAAATCTGGTAATAAACAGCTATTCTTTATCGCCTCTGAGGATAGCACAGCGGGGAGTAGTTTTAAAATGCAGCAGAAAGTTGAATGGAGCCTGGAAGCAGCACATGCTTCCTTGGTTTGTTGGCTCATATTTATAGGGTCAGGGAGAAGAGATGTTAGAAATCTTCCACTTAAAATCGGAGGTTTTTATCAGATGAATCTTTCCAAATACAAAGCTTAAACATCCTTTATTTAAGATTTCTCAACCTGAGCACAAAGAATAAATGTAAAGATTGTCAAACAAATACTAATTAGATATTGACTTAACTCAGCCTGATTGTATTTTTTTCAGTATTCCAGAGTTCAAGTCTGGTAATAATTTCCTTATTTTACTGCATCATTCCAGTCCCACATATGCTTATTAGTAGGATGTCTACTGTAAGGAGAGATCTCTTCTTACCTCCTAAACTGTTCAAGAACTCCAGAGACTTGGGTAGTATAAATGTGGTATAGTTTAGGTAACCTGCTTCCTCAAGTTTGTTGTGGAAAAAAATTGCAAGGTCTAAATCTTCTTCAGGCCACGTGATGAGACTATGTTTGTTCAAGACCCAGCGCAGTTCACAGTGGAGTTGCATGCTGGAGTTCAGAGTTGTTATTGTCATACTTCAAATATATACACTCAGCCATGTTTTCCCAAGGTAAAACTCCATATTATAAAGGCTTAAATGTGAATAGCTTTTGGTTTTCTTTACTCACTTCCTCAGAATCAGTGCTTTCAATCTTCCTGGAAGGCCTCTGACAAGGGTTCTAATCAACTAAAACTGACTGAAACTTCTGCTTTGCTCGTAGTGAGTGCTACTGTCCTCCTAGTGACTGCTGTGATTTTCTGTCTATATGCTTTTGTTCCTGGCTACCTTGTTCACCCTGCTGAGTCTGGGATTTTAGTAACTGAGGTCAGGGTATTCCAGTCAGGAGATCTTTGAGCTTCTTTTGGCTATCCACTGTACTCATATGCCAGAAATCGTCTATCTTTATGGCATTGTCCCAAATTGAAGCATTTCTTACACTATTTTCACATATTTTATGAATGCAGCCTTTCAGACAACCTTTAGAAATTTAGAATCTCTTTAATGATGAAATGTCAACAACTGACCTAGTAAATGGAAATGGAGATTCAGATTTGACTTGCATGTTTTTTGAGCTCACAGGAAACAATGACCAGTCAGACACAGGCATGAAGGAGGAGTTTTGTATGTTTGGCATACTGCTGTGTATGTGCTCTGAACCAGCAAGGGGGCTTGATACACCATGGATGTGCATTTACTTGTTGAAATCAATAACTAAGTAGTGATTTTAGTGATTACTTCAGGTCCAAAAGACTACTTTATGGAGGAACTGTAAGCATAAAATGCTTTTTCAAGAAAAGTATGGGTGTGACTGGCACAAGATTAAAAGGCAAAGCTACTTAATATAGATTTGGAATAAGAAATAAATAGAGAAAATATGGTGATAAATTAGGGAGCAAAAAATCAAACTTTTAGAAGCAGATTACAATAACATGTTGCTTTCATAAATATTTAATTCTGTACATTGTCATATAAATGAGGAAAGTTCTCATGTTAATATGAAGCAGATAATTTTTCTTAATTTTCACATTCATATAAACATTCTCAGTACAGACACATACATACACATCACGTATATTACGTTTTCCTTTTGACGTACTTTTAAAGTACATTAGACTAAAATTAAGGATTAAAAAGCAAAATTTGATAAATATAACTGCCCTAGTGTCATGTTATTGTTCTTTAAAGATGAAGCAATGGAATGTTTAAGACAATCATTTATGTGCTGCATATATTTCACATCTGTGATTTTGTATACACAGAGTATATAACTTAATTAGGTAATCTGTGCTCTAACTTCCAAAGAAGACACTCCAGTAACATGTTCTAGGCCCTTTGTTTCTGCTAGTTGAAAGTCAAATGTACTTAAGGAATAAAGGAGAAGATATAAACATGTAAATTCACTTATGTCTATCACATAAATTTAAATTTTACGATGCAATTAGTGTTGGTAAAGATTGAATAAAAGGATGCTATTTTTAAAAATTAAATATACAAATGCCATTTATTTATCTCAGATTACTCAGTCATCATTTTACTTCTAAAATAATATTTAATATCTATATTAACTTTGAATTTCTTGTTGCGTTCTCCTAGAAGTTTGTTCTTCACATAAATTAATTTGTATTAAACAATATAAAGTGTCTTTGTACAGAAAGCATTTAAAAAATTCTGGTTAAAATATCTGGTTTCTCCTTTTTCAAACACCAAATTTAGCTTCACTTTTGCACAATTTTTTTTAGGGATTTTCTTCTTATCTAAACAATGTCTGAGTGTAAAATGTGATATTTCTTAGTAGAATAAGAAATACAGTTATGATGCTTTTCTTATGTCTATGTGGGAGCACAAGAACTTACTACTAATTTACAAGTTAAGGATACCACAAAATGAAATTCTCAAAATGTAATGGTCATTTACCCAGAATAACAGAGAAAATTTAAAAATTATATTAGGCTGTATATGGTATTTACTTGTGGAAATTGGGAAAACAGTCAAGTCATACACTTGTGAAGTCTACCAAAAAATAGAACTTTTTTCTTTTTTTTTTTTAATACCAAGAATCAAACTCATGACCTGGTATATGTCAGGCAGGCATTTGTGCTGCTGAGCTAATGCTCAGCCCCTATACTTATTTTTTTAAAATAGACAGAAAAAATGTTCTTTAGAAATATTATTAAGGATATCTATCTTGATTGCAAATTCATGGTTCACCAATATAACTAACGTGTTTGGCTTATTCAATATTTCTTATTACAGTGGTATGACTGTGTGTATCTCTTCTCTAAAGAACACCAGAGCCACTGTGACTATATGACAATTCTGATTTAGCTGGAATTTGAGGTCTTGAGTACATTTACACCTCAAATGACTTTCTCATTTTTATCATGGAGCAGAAATTAGAAACTCACATTCCAATAATTTTCTGAAAGTTACCTTTTAAAAAGTATTTGCTTAACCTGTTGAGATAAATTGTGACCATTTCAGTAGCAGGGTCTATTATACTCTTTTGGGTCTCTTAATAGCAGTAAATACTTTTGTTAAGAATATCTACATTAAGTAGATGAAAATATACTTAACTTGTGACTCTGTCTTTAATTAGTTTTGAGGCTACAGACAAATTCTTCAACTTCTCTAATCTTTCAGCCTATAAAATAGGAATACTGGAACTGGGCTTCCATGGGGGTGAGTTCCTGCTCACCATCCCAAGTACTGGGAGAGTTTAAGATCATTGCCAAGATCATTGTCAAAGATGTGTCCAGCTTCCAGCCACATTAGACTGGGCACTGCAGGTTTCAGGCCTGTCTGGGCTATGCCCAGTGACCTTCTTTCAATCCAGGAACTGTGCTGCCAGAGGAGGAAACTGGGCTGCTGGTGGGGGTGAGTTCTGGTCACCACCCCAAGCCCTGGGAGAGTTTAAGATCATCTCTCTCAGTGGTCAAGGACCCGCCCAGCTTCAAGCCATACCAATCTAGGCTTCGGAGGTTTTGTGGCCAGACTAGATTACACCCAGCGGCCTTCCTCAATTAGGAGTTGAGAGCACGTCAAGTGAGTTCCAGCACTTTGGTCCTTGCCTGGGGAGAGCTTTGGACCATCATCCACAGTGGTTAGGTGCCTCCCTGCTTCCTGGAACATTGGAGGTGACATGGGTGTTCCTGTGGGCCTGACTGGACCACACTCAGCAACCTCCATTCAGCCCCAGGAGCCAAGGGCAAAGGAGATAATTTCCAACATGCCCAGAGGAAGCCTTGAAACAACAATTGAAACATGGAAATATAGGAAAATGACAAAACAAAAGACCAAAATGCAATCTCAAAACTCCAGCCCATCCCAAGAAAACCTAGGAGCCATGTACATAGAAGAAAATATATGCCATACACCCGAAATACCTGAAATAATAGCAAGTGAAATGCAGAAGCAATGCCAGAAAGCTTTAAAGGAAATCAAACTAGAAACAATCTCCCAGGTAAAAGAAGAAATGATAAAAGTAATGAAAGAGATCCTGAACACATCTAAATAAGACACAGTTAAAAAATTTGAGGAACAAAACAAAAAGATAGAATCCCAGGATAAACAATATAAGAAACAAACAGAATATATGAAGCAGATTCATAGAGATACACAGGAAATCAAAAATTCCATTGAAAGTTTTCAGAACTACCTCAATGAAAGTGAAGATAGAATTTCAGACCTCAAAAACAAGATTGCAGCTAGTGAACAGGAAAGAAAAGATCTTTTAAAAATAACAAGGAATCAGGAAATAACAATTCAACAGCTGCAAGATCATGCAAAGAAAAACAACATAAACTGATAGGGATAAATGAAAAAGAAGGGGATAACAAAAAAGATATCAAGAGGATATATACAGAAGTAATAGCTGAAAAGTATCCAAACATGAGAATGCAAACCAACACATGGATTAGTGATGCATATGGAACCCCAAAAAGCCATAATCAAAATAAAACTACACCTAGACATATAATAATTACCATCCCAGAAATACAACATAAGAACAGAATATTAAAAGCTGTTAGAGAGAAAAGACTTATGCAGAGAAAACACTTATACAGGCAAACCTATCAGAATCATATCAGACTTCTCAACACAAAAAAATGAAGTCAAGAAGAGAATGGAGTGAAGAATGTC